AGGGCCACATCCAGCAGTCCCAGGAATGGTTCGTCTCCACCAGCAGCGGCTGCTCCAGCTGCTCCCTCAATCGTTTTGCTCGCTAGCCATGGTGGGATGTTTGTGACTGAAAAAAAGGGCACCAGAATTCATGGCGTTTAGTTTTCGCTTTGCATAACATTTGTTCACTCGATTTGCATGTCGCGCACTTTGGACACGCACTCTAATGTATTCCACGTAAGCCAGAGCCAGAACCAAAGCCTACAGCTAGAGCTAGAGCTAGAGCCGGAGCATATAGGCTACTTTGCATCGGGTCTGTGTCTAACGGTATGGCGCTTCCGCACTTGTCTTAACGGTACACGCTCCAGGTGTCGATCTCGCTCTCGCTCTCGGTCTCAATAAATGTTTTCGTCACATAGCGGTTGACATTGAAAACGCACAGCAAAATCGGATTTTAATCGGTTGTACCTTGAATGCCGTTGTTGCGGCTGCTACTCCGGTTGCAGTTATGCAATTAAACAATGAATTATATATATATTCTCGACGTAGCGACGCTACGTCTGCTTCGGTTACGGTACACTGCTTACTGCTGCTCGACAGCAACACGCTTTATGCACCGCGCTTATCGAAAGCCAGGCGCCGATCGAGAGATATGATGAAAGCAACAAACGATTTTTGTAATGTGGTTCCAAAAATATATACTAAACAGCCTCGTGAATCACTAGCTCTTATAGTTTAAGTGTTTGCTCCCTTTACGCTTATGAAAATGAATGTGGAATATGAATATAAAAAACTCACTTCATGTGAGCTTTAATCGTAGTGACATTATCACAAATAGTTATATTATTATTCAAATTATTACACTGACTTCCGTGACCAGGTGGACGTGCCTGCTTTAAGTCTCCTTGTGCTTTTTCCGCACACCGCTTTCCCTAGTTTGCTATGCGAATCTGAAACTATTATTTTATGATTTAATTTTTCAAACAAAATATTTGCCTGGAATGGAATGTGACCCCTGTCGATTGTATCTATTTTTTGTGCGTTCGTCAAAATTGCACCTTGAATTGGGAATTGAACTTAATGCTTTAATGTTGCTAATGCGCCGTTTCGGCTACGTGTTTGAACTTTGCATAGACAAGCGCACTCGCGTAATAGTTCTTGTTGCTGTGGTCACCAAATGGCAGAAAATAAATATTAAACAAATGCCAGACGAGCGGAGTGGGCAAGCGCTCAGCGAAGCTTATGCTAATCGACGATAGTGGCGTCGTCCAATTCCAGTTTGAGGAAGGTGTACGACACTGTGGTGGTCAATTTAGTGAAGCAACGAGAATCAGCCGCGGGCAACAAGTGGAGGAGAATTGGTGAATTTTTATAGGTCACCTCACCCCTGTCTAACGTACTATGGACAATAAGTTATTTCTTTTTCGCATAATCCATTTCTAGCACACATGACTAGATCGATTCGGCAGCAGTTGATGCTCATAAAAGAAGATACCATATATATGTATGTATGTACATATTTTGTGAGGTCAGAAACTTTTACTGACCGGATATACAAGGCAATGAGATACAAATAAAATTTCCTATTGATATAAATTTAATTTTGTGATACCCTGTAAAGTTGTCCTTTGTGTTTTGAACTTTTTTGCAAACAGCTATATAAAATTGTATTTAAAAAATAAATATTTATATACTTACATATATGACTTATTGTGATTCCTAACAATTGTGCTTACTCGCCATATAACAAAGTTTTTAAATCGCAACCAAACAATCTGCCGGCTAATGACCACACTGCAAGTACTCAACACAAACACGTTTTGGCTCCGTAATGCTGAAACTGACTTAGTAGCTGCGAAATTTAGAATTCCCTAGCCACGATAATAATAAAATAATAACACAATAAGCATGAGTTGGCAAATTTTTGCTCACTAGTGGCTTTTCTTATCGAAATATAAGTCAACTAACCAGAGGATATGTTTAGTTCCAAACGAATTTATTTTCAAGATGTACGTTGCTACTGATCAAAAAGATCTGGTTTTTAATTTTTATTTAAAACTCAAGACAGTATAATACTTTTTTACTGACAATTGTTTGCTTGACCTGAAATGTAGTAGCAACCAAATGGGTTTGTTGATAGCAGTGAACCGAAAAAACTTTTAGACCTATTCTATAAATATTCAAAGTGCCACAGAACGATAAAGTTATAGAGGATTAAAGTAATATATTAAAAATAAAACCATTATATTGCATTGCTAAAACACTATATACGCATTTTCAATCTAAAATTTACATAAGAAGCAGGAGATAAAGTTCTTAGATTTTATAGCTTTGTATACGTACATTTTCGTAATCAGCATCAGCTGTCCGATTCATTTTGTTATTTAATAGCGTAGAAAAGTAACGTAATAAGATTATGGGGTCTTCGGCCCACAATAATACCCAGTGATTGGCATTTGAGAAGGATTTGGATTTTTCTAACGAATTAGTTATAATTATCCATTATTTCCTGATTTTTTTTAAATTCAGCCGTAGTTGAAGTTGAAGAGGACCTGATAAAGCCTATTAATTTATTTAAAGGTCGGCCATTTTTCCTTTAAGATTCAAGTGTTATACACTTGGCATTATTTTCGGAAAATAATAAACATTCAAGGCTTAGAAACACTTTAAAACGTTTAACAGGCAAAATCAGAGAGAAGGACCATGAATTCTTAGCTAAGTTAGATTAAAACAAAGTTTGCCACACAAAGCTATCAAGTGTTAATAATTTTGGCCATTGATACAAAATTGAAAAAAATATATGTTTATTATTTACGTTTCTCGATCACGATTAGCTAACCGTGTATTAAATCAACAATTTCCCTCTCCCTCCCGTCTCCATACTGTTGCTTTAATCAAAACGACACTACATTTTTAACACGAAATCCATTTTTAATTTTGACAGTGTATTCACTTTGCTCGCTCATGTATGCGGTGGTTGTTGTTGTTATACATTGTGCCCATCGTGGTAGCCTCTACAATTATAACTTTTGACAAGAAAGGAAGCTAACTTCGGCACGCCGAAGTTTATATACCCTTGCAGATAGAACTTCTATGAATAGGAATCCATACAATATAAATTATATATATTTGTGTTAAAAAACAATTAAATAATATTCCTGTTTTCATTTCATTCACCTATACATATTATACTTGCAGTTTACATTCACAGACTTGCATTTTCTCTACATCAAACGATCGTTTGTATGGCACCTATATGATATATTTTCATGAAATTTAAACAAAATTAAGACTAATACAAAATGGCTATACTCAAATTGATGAAATCAGCTGAAACTAAAAGGTTATAAATTTAATTGTATAATTCTCGATTGTCCTATGGAGCTATATGATATAGTAGTCGATTTTCATAAAATTTTATGCAAAATTGTAGAGTATAGTAAAATGGCTATATCTCAAATTTGATCCAATTCCATTGAAAACTGAAAAAGTTAAAAATTTTTTGTAAAAATTTTCGGATCAATCCTATGGCAGCTCTATGATATAGTCGTCCGATCCGGCCCGTTCCGACATATATACGAGTGAGAGTATATAGAAGGCTAACTACAAAGTTTCATTCAGATAGCTTAAAACTGAGAGACTAGTTTGCGTAGAAACGGACAGACGGACAGAAGGACAGACGGACATGGCTAGATCGACTCGGCTGTTGATCCTGCTGAAGAATATATATACTTTATATAGTCGGAGATGCCTCCTTCACTGCATTGCAAACTTCTGACTGAAATTATAATACCCTGCAAGGGTATAAATATCATGAAAAACCTACCACAAAATTGTTTGAAATGCGGATTTACTATACAAACTCAGATGCGACATTGCTTCCAGTAATTATATCGTTTTAAATTGTTAATTGAATAATATGTCAGTTAAACAACAGTTTTCAACATTTGATTTTTAGAGCAGGATCAATTTTTCGAAAAGAAGCAGGATGTAAACTAGGCCATCAACATTCTCAATTTTGCCCACTGTGCACAATGTGTAAAAGTGAATAGAGGAAGACGAGCCAGCAACAGGTAAAACTTCAACTTGAAACCAAACCGCACACATGTGCGAGTGCGAGCGAGAGGGGACTATGTCTGTGGTTATTCCATCTGCTTTATCGATGTAACCTTGACCGCCAGTGCACAAAATATCAATTAATTTATGTATTTCGACTGCGCGTGGCCTTTGGACTTGGCAGATACAAAAAACATAAACCTATGTAGTACAACTCACCGATCTGACTAGGTCGTTTCCGCTGCGTACTTCCAGATCGTTCCGTTCTTTTTACACGTTCGATGATTGACGAATCACTTAATTTGCTTTATTTAATCCACGACGAAACGGGCGAGGTGCAGTAACAAAGTACGATTTACGGGATGTAGTGTGCTCGCCGCTTATAATGCTCAGTTTTGTGGAAGATATGGCGGATTTATTCCTCTGCGCTGGAGGGTCACACTGATTTAAACGCAGTCAAGTGAAGTGATCGAAAACAAAGTGTTTGCACCTGTGCCAGAGGTGGAAAAATGTACTGAGCTATCGATGAATGATAATGTTTTTAAAACAAAAATTAAGTAAAATGAATCATAAGACTTAATCATAATCATCCAAATTCGACTGAAAAACTGGATAACTGAAAATATCGGCGATATAATTAACGGTGCAGGAAACGATCCATAATAGACAGCTGCTAAATTTTTAACCAAAACCCAGTCACTAGATTGGATATACCATTTGCATTCTCCTATATAATATTTAATTATTTTAAACTACTGTACCATTATTAGAAATTAAAAACTTTTAGTTAATTCGGTATCCAGACTGTTCAGCTGCCAATATTTTCTGTCATTCTGCTTATAAGGAACACCTTGGATAATATTAGACTTTTTTAAGCAAGTTTCTGTTAATGTTATTATATATATATATATATTTGCAATCTTTCTCTCTCCCATGAGGATATCGATATTGGAAAGAAAAGTATCGATAATGAAGTCGAAGTTCTTGCAGCTCTAGATGGCATATTTTAATTTGTAAAAAAACTCGACGCGAGCAGCGAACGGCTCGGAAATGCCATTAAAGTTCTTGAAAAAGTGTCGCCAGTACAATGTGACGTCCAAGAGTTTATTTGTTATATCAGTGCATCACCTGCTGGGTGAGTAAACCTCGGTCGCCCCCGATAGCGCCAGGCAAAGCAACAACTACAGCGCAGCACCAATAGGAAGAGCAACAACAAAGACGATTTGGTGACAGCCACAGTTAACAGCTGCCGCAGGCTATTACACTTGTTGATTTATTTAATTGGAAATAAGTACACAATTCCATTTATGGTCCCGCACATGATAGAGCACCTGTTATTACCTGTTTCGCTGGAATTCGCCAACGAATTCAGGCCTCAAAAATGCGGACATCGCAATCGTATTTCCCACACACTCACATACTTGTTGCTTTGTTGTTGCCTATAGCATATGTACATGCGTATGTTGCTGTGCTAACAGATACCGTTAACAGGAACGCCCAGGATTGTTAGGTCTATTCAGCTGACTGTAAAGAGAGCCCTGTAGGTGTAAAACATGCAAGTGCAAACCGATCTATAAGTCAATAGTGAATGCTGCTGCTAGCGGACAGAGAGCTCTCCCAATAGAAATGGAAAAAATCAATCTCCCTTTGTTTATAGATTCTGAAATAGCTCATTTTTGAGGATTCTAGATAACTTTTAGTTTATATACCCTCACTTAACTGGTTTTTCAAAAATGACATGTTTTTTCACAATGTTTGAGGTTGCGAATACAACTGTATCCAAAAACTAAACTGGCTTCATCAGTGGAAAGCTAACCATAAATAGTAAAAGTATCGAAAGAGAGTAGTAAAATGTTTGCATGTGTTTCCATGCTTGTGCGTGCTGTGCCCAGGGCTGCCGTGAATTTGGAATGCTTTTAGTGAATTTGTCAATCGGAGCACGTTTTCAACGCTTCTTCCATTGCAGACACCTCCAGTACGGTCGATTGCACGATCAGTTCGGAGAGTAAGGGGCAGGAGTGCCTGGATAATGTGTGCCAGCGACTGCTTATTCAGCAGCCGGAATTCTTCGGGCTGCGATACCTGGTTAAGGGCAAAGACAAGGACAAGGAGGACGAGTTTAAATGGATCGATCTGGAGCGTTCGCTGAGCCGGCAGTTGGAGAAGTACGCGGCGGGGCCGAAGATCTACCTTCGGGTCCGCCACTACGTGACAACTGGAGTGCGCCACCTTAGCGATGAGGCCACGCGATTCTATTATTTCCTCCAGCTGAAGAGCGACATCTACGAGGGTCGGATCGCCTGCGACATCCGCACAGCCATCTTGCTGGCGCTCTACTGCCGTCAGGCGGAGTACGACAGCTATCAAGGCGATAAGCAGAGCAAGGATTACCTAAAGAAATCGCTGGTGCTGCCACGCAACATGCAGGGTCTGGCCAATGACGACAGTATGTTGGAAGGTCTTATTGTGGAGGTGCTGCAGCAGCAAGCGGGCCTGGCGCATCTCAGTCAGAGCCAGGCGGAGGAGATGTACATACAGTGCTGCCAGCAGCTGGATGGGTACGGCGAGGAACGCTTTGCTGCCAAAGACACTCTGGGCAACGATTTGCAGCTGGGCTTGGCCATCAACGGGATGGTGGTGAATGCGGACAACGGCCGGCAGTATTTTCCGTGGAAGGACTTTCACACGGTGACCATTGACAAGCGTACCATCAAGATCGAACAGAATCGACTAGACGGCGATGGAAGCATAGTGGGCAGTTTTATCTTTGGCGAGGCGGACACTGCCCGCTACTTCTGGAAGCTCTGCATCAGTCAACACAAGTTCTTCAAGCGCTACATTGACACCGCCACGCCTTCCAGCCTAGGTAGCGGGGCGGACGTTGAAAGCGGACATTTGGGAGCCGATAGCGTCGGTTATGTCGACTTCGACTACGCCGAGGCCGCCGAGCAATTACAACAACAGCAACATCAGCAGCAGCAGCAGCAGCAACAACAGCAGATCCACCACCAGCAGCAAATGCTTTCCTCAAACATTTCACTAGCCGCCAGCCATAGCCACAGCCAGCTCCTGGGACAGAGCAGCTCCTGCCTTGACCTGAGCAACAACAACCTGCACAGCAGCAATGGCATGCTACACCTCGGCAGCAGCAGCAACAACAACAACGAGGAGCGGGAGCGCCTGAAAGCAATGTTGCCGACGTACCGGCCAGCGCCGGACTATGAAACGGCTGTACAGCTCAAGTATCGCACTCCATCCGCGGAGCTGCACAATGTGACTGTTGCACTAGCCACTCCCGGCACCACCTACTATGCAGGCTCCCAGCCTGACGTGCATAATCCAGGTGTTTACAACGAGAACTTGCTCTACGGCCACCTAACGGCCCACCGCTACCCTGACGTAGCGCAGCCGGCAGCAGCTCTCCATCACCACATCAATCTATACCAGACGAAGCAGCAGCAACAACAGGTGCAACCAGTAAGCACGGCCCAGGCGTATTTGGAGCTTTCACAACGCATGCACATGATGCGACACAAGGCGCCGCCGCCGTACCCGGTTAATCGGTTGAGCTCCTCGTCGACCCCCGACCTGGCAGTGGCGACACCCCGACCATTGCAGGGCTATCGCAACTACGTGAGCGGTTCGTCGCCCGATCTAGTCTCCAACCGCACCCTCCTCAATGGCGGCCAGTACTTAGCTCTGGCCGCAGGCGGGCATGCCGGCAACATGCCCACCTCGTCCGGAGCCACCATGCTGCACCAGTACCAATATGTTGGTCACATGGGTCACTCGCAGCCCTATCTGCCGCCGCACGGAACCTTCGAGAACCTCAACATGATTGAGGAGCAGCCGTCCATCATGTCCCAATTGCGGCAGTCGGCGATGAGCCAGGCAGCAGCCGCGGCAGCTGCAGCCGTAGTAACGCAGAGGTAAGGTTCCATAAATAAATGAATGGATGAACTTTCTCATTGTAATGATCTTACATGCAGTGACATTTACTGACTTTAACTTATATTACAGTTCACCCACCCTACCGCCCACCGGCTATCGCAGCTCTGTGCCGCCACCAGCCAGCAGTCCGCAGCCACCAGCCGTTTCATCCCAGAAGTCGACCACACCCACACCTCTGCAGCGGAGTGTCGTGAACGGATCCATAGAGCCCATCTATGAGAACCTACCGCAGCGCGCCTCCGGTGGCAGCAATGGAGCAGCACACGCCGAGGCCATTCGCCAGCGAGCCTCCTCCATACAATCGGCTCCTCCTGGTGTTGTGCCCGTGCCGGCGGCCCGGCATGCCAGCACTAACAACGTGGTCACCGTGACGGTGAATGCCCAACCAGACGACCATATCACGCCAAACATAGTGAAGTATGGAGCCGAGCGATCGGCTATCGCGGAGTTGCAATTTCAAGAGCCACAGCTGCCGACACGCTCTATCAGGGCAGCCAGTGCTGCTCCGGCCATTGGAGTCACGCCGCCGCCCCGCCAACATCGATCCACCGCGAGTCTAAACAAGTCGACGACCGTCGACGTCAACGCACCGACTGGAGACTCGCTGCAGCAGCAATTCAGTGCCATGAATCTATCTGCCAACACATCAGCATCCACCTCCTCCATGTTCAACTCCACTTTGGACACCACATCCTCGTCTGCGGCTAGCAAGGATGCCAAGCGCAAAAAGCGATGGAACTTCCTCGCCCGCAGCAAGACTCCCGATAAGCAGAAGTCTGCCACGCTGGGCAGGGAGAAGGCAGCTACTACTGGTCAGCACGCCAAGCTTGCAGCAAAGCTGAAGCTGGCTCAGGACGATCTTAACCTGCCCCACCGTTGGTCCACCGGTGTTAGCAAGCCGCAACCGATTTCTGGAAGGTATTCCAAGGACAAGCTGGTAAGTGGTAGATTTCAACTTGATAGAATATTGATATGTATATGATATGTATCTCTTGTATAATTTCAGTGCCAAATCCTTAATGAAAAACTACAGGACTCACAGCTATTCATGGAGTTTGAACGCATACCGAAGCGGCGAGAGCATGCCCTGTACGAGTGTGCCCTGCTCGAGGAAAATGAGCCCAAGAACCACGATCCAAACTTTTTGCCCTACGACGATAACCGGGTGCGCTTAGTGCCGTCAATGGAAAATCGACATGGATACGTGAATGCCTCCTACATATCCGTGAGTTACACGATTTTGTGTATAAGATCAATATAAACTTGAAATGTATGACTTTGTAGGCCACTGTTGGAACGAAACAACGATTTTACATCGTGGCGCAATCCCCACAAGAGTCACAAACTATGCACACCTTTTGGCAGTGTGTTTGGGAGGCTGATGTGTATTTGGTAGTTCAGCTAACCGAGGACATGAGCTACATTCCCCTAAGCAGTCAACAGCGTCTGGAGTTTGGACAGGTTTGTGATGCCATGCTATGTTGAAGTGCTCCTATGACACATCGCTCCTCCTTTTGCAGTTTCAAGTATATCAGGAATTTTCTCAAACCACCGATCGATGCACAACCAGCAAGCTGCGTCTCTTCCACGCTCCCTCGCGTCGCTACCGTTCCGTCTGGCATCTACAGTACGCAGACTGGGCGGAACAGAATTGTCCGCGCGACGTCAACCACTTTTTGGACTTTCTTGAGGAGCTCAACTCGGTTAGACTGGCATCAACACACGAGGTGCCGCCAGGACACAATACGAATCCTCCCGTTTTGATTCACTGCCTCGAGGGGGGCGGTCGATCTGGTGTCACACTGACGGCGGATCTTCTGCTTTATACCCTGGACCATAACGAGGTAAATTTGGATTTGAAATATTAGTCCCACCATATTTTTAATCTATCTGTGCTGTCTTTTCAGGACTTGGATATACCGAGGGTCATTGGGCAACTGCGGCATCAACGTGATAGCATTATACCGTCCCTGGCGCAGTACAAGTTTATATACAATCTGCTCATTACCTATTTGAAGCGTACGAGGTTGATATGAGGCTGAGAAATGTTTCAAGGGATGCATTAGAGTGTCCATGGACCAAAGCATTCTATGTTTTATAATCCTACCTTCCTGAGAACGAACAATTTTATTTAAGTCGTAAGAAAAAGTGCCTTTTAATATGCGTATCCCCAATCAAAATGTTATTCATTTTACTTAAACAACGTAAAATTTTGTTTTAATTGTAATTTGTTTTGAAGTTCCAGACTCCATTGTCAAAACTAGGGCTAAGGCGCTAACAGAAACTCCTACCAATGGCGTTAATCGTAGTGCCTAGCTAGATAAGATAGCTCCGCATCCAAGCAAATACTTGTTAGGTTTAAAGCCAAATTATTTATAGAAAACTGTATTTTATCTAAAGTTGAAACAAAACTTAACGAATTGAACCCCCCTCCCAAGAAGCAATAAAAATTTAACATTATTGACATAAATAACTGGCAAACATTAATAGATCGGATCGTCACTGGGCAACAGAAGAGAAGAGAGAGGAGCTAAGTTCTTAATTTAATTTGATTAACGTATCGTATAGGTCTGATATATCAAAAAGAATATTGATATCGTAACGTTTAAAAATTGACTCGTCAAATTTCTCAAAAATAAAAGTACATATCAATATCGATATTAATTATTTACCCGTCTTTAAGAGTACCTTATCTCCATGTACTTTTGAACGAATTTGGTGTATATCTTTCTTCTTTTTAAGCTAAAGCAAGAAAGGAAGCCAATTTCGGCACGTTTATATAACCTTGCAGATAGAACTTCGATAACTGGGAATTAATACATTATAAACTATTCATATTTATGTAAAAAAAAAACAATGAAGTTTTGCCTGCTTTCATTTCATACACCTATACATATGGGCAATTCTCCAGAAACGTGCACCGCGGCCAAAAACTTAAAATTGCTTAAAAACGAGTATTTTTAACATGATTACATTAAAAAGTGGTCAGGATGATCAAGACTAAGATAATTTTTCATTTTCTAAAATAAGTTTCAAAAAAATCGATGTCAAACACGCGCAAACGCAAATAATGTTGTTTTTATCAAAAAAAGGCATAAAAAATGGCATGTTTTGTTTGATGCCCATCTCTTAAACCGAACCATTTTGCTCTAACTTTTGGTTTCTAATATGACATAAAAAACCCAAAGATTCAATATTAAGTGCAAACGGACATATCCGATCACCAATATTCGTACAGTTTCAGTTTAAATTAGCGCGTTCCAAAATGTCGCGTGCGACCGGGAATAAAATTGAATTTAAAAAATAACTACTTAATATTTTAAAATCAAACAAAATACGTTAGTAAGATAATTCATTGCGTAATTCATTAAAATTTATTGTACTACAATTTTTCATCACGTTTCGCTGAAATCAGAGCTTAAACTGGTTTTTTTCAAATGTAACTTCTATTTTTGTCGCGTGCGAACGCAGTACATTTTAGTGAATATCTTGAAAACAAACAAGGGTTCAAAATCGACCTTTGCACCAATTATAGTGCTAACCAAGAGCTATACGTTTCAATTTTTATAAAATTAAAATAAAGTCTTGGCACATGTGTTTTTTTAGTTTGAATGCGTACGAATGTCGCATTCGACACCAGAGAATTGCCCATATTATATTTACAGTTTTGAGTTTTCCTCTATATTTAACGATCGTCTGTATGGCACCTATATGATATAGTAGTCCGATTTTCATAAAATTTAAATCAAAATTCGATAATAATATAAAATGGCTATATCTGAAATTTTATTAAATTGAAATAATTGAAAACTGAACAAAATAATATTTTTATTTTTCTTGATCGTTTCTATGGCAGATATATGATATAGTAGTCCGTTTTTCATAAAATATTACACGAAATAGTAGAATATGAAATAGAATTTTTTCTCAAATTTATAAAATTCTATTGAAAACTAAAAGAGTTATAATTTTGTTAAACAAATTTTCCGATCGCTCCTATGGCAGCTTTTTGAAAAGTCGTCCGATCCGGCCCGTTCCGACATACATACATATATACGAGTGAGAGTTTATAAAAGTCTAACTGCAAAATTTCAGATAGCTTCAAAACTGTGTGATTAGTTTCCGTAGAAACGGACAGACCGACATAGCTAGATCGACTCTGCTGTTAATCCTAATCAAGAATATATATACTTTATATAGTCGGAGGTGCCTCCTTCACTGCATTGCAAACTTCTGACTGAAGTTATAATACCCTGCAAGGCTTTAAAAACGGGTGGTGTTATACGAAAATATAAACAGGAACTTTTAAAATATTGAATCACAAATAATAATATTATAGTTTTTCGCCCACACGAACTGACAGTCTTTGAATAATTTGAATTGTTTTTTATTTCCTAATATTTTTCCAATACATATTAAATACATATAGAATTTAAAAATAAATTATAAAGAAGTATACAAATGTCTTTTGTAAATATTAGTCAATACATCTGGAAAGGGAATCATTCTGAAGGGCCCGACACGCTGCAAAGAGGGAAGGCCGCCGTGGCTCGCATCAAGAACTTCCAAGTAGATCATATTTTTAAACATAAAGAAAAATCTTTATTACATTTTCCCGCCTAAAACAACGAAAAGCTATTGCTCTGATTTTTGCATACGTTTTAAATACAATCAAAATTTTTGCGGCAAAAACTTAAAAAGAATTTTTGTAAATCATGAAACCTATACATTAAATTATTTGTATAATTTTAATATCTTCCCAAACATCAAAGAAAAAAATATTAAAAGCTGCCCTTTTATAAAGTTAGGGTTACAAATATATTTGACGACATTTAAGAAAAATTCGCAAATTTTACGATTTTTACATTTTAGTTTTTGATTTAAATAACATTCTTGAAAGCCTTAAAAAGCTAAGTTTATTTCCGTATTTACTCTAACTTAAATATTTAAAGAGCACAATTTATATTATATTTATTTTCTTATGTGTTCAGCAAAAGATAATTTGGTTTTCGCCTGGGAAAGCCAGCGAAGAGTCGGGTCTGCACTACGTCCAGGTTTGTATATATGTATGTATATATATTTATTTATTTATATGTAGAGATTTCACGTAGGTAGATTGTATATATATATATTGTATATTTATATGTATATAACAGGCATTTTGCACACTCAAAAATATATATATTAGAGTCATTTACGTGTGAGAAAAATATGTTCACGAAACATTTATTCTTGTGTTTGTTTTTTAAAGTCTCAGGTTTGTATTTTATAAACTTATTTCTGGTTGCTTTTCGAGTTAGTTGTACTTTGATGATTTCATTTTTGTATTGAGGGCTATTCTAGGTCTTTTGTTATTGTTTATACAAATATATTGCATTTGTCTTTCATGATGCCTTTTTCCTGTTTTGTTTTCGGTAAATAAATACTAAAGGTTTGGAAAATATATTCGAAATTAATTTCTCTCTCGCTTGGGCTTTAAAACTAAATATTTGGAATTGGAGCGAAGGTTTTTAGCGGTATATTTATATGGTGTATATATTAGTGTGTATATATTATACCTATATTTATGCAATTTACGAGACAACTAAACTTAGTCTCGCTGTTGCGCTGCTTGGCATCAAAATGCTTCAGAGAAATGCCGGAGAAAACTCAAAAGAGTTTCATTCGAGTCTGCTTAAAGGGGTGGGTCTGCCTGCAGACATTTTCTTCTTAGAGAAAAGGCTACTACTAAGCGAAAAGAAAATGGGTACACAGAATTTGGCTAAATTAAGATATATGTAAATCATAAAACCCTAATCCTCATCATAAATACATCCAAGCGGCGCACATTGAGTCCAGTTGGTTGTTTAAATGTTCCGATGAAGTGCAAAGGCAGTTGATGTGGGCTCCTGCCAATGTTTGATTTTCTGATGAATTGGAAACCACAACCATTCACAAATTTTGGCAACTCTTTAAGCTAAAAAAATAAGGGAAAATAAATAAATAAAAACAAGAAAGAAAACTAACTTTGGGATGCCAAAGTTTATATACCCTTGCAGTTTCCTATTTAATTCAAGGATCGAATCGGAAATCGTTCATAACTAAGCTTAAATATTTGCATTATAAGAATCGATATTTATACATATTGTTATGTAATTTTTTTTAGAAAAATGCTGATCAAGAATATGTATGATTTTTAGGGTCGAAAATGACCCCTTCACAGCGTTACAAGCTTCATATTAAAATTATAAATTCCTGCAAGGGTATAAAAATAATCGTTAAATGCGAAATTAAATAAAAAATCTATATTTGGAGCGTTTCTATCAGATTCAGAACCATGTTGTACGGTTGTTATATAAAAAGATTTTGGCACAATTATAACCTAATCATTATTTTTTGCAAAGCTCGTAAATAGCAGTTTATAGTTAATGCATATTTCAAAAACAGCTTTATTTATTCATTTCCATTTCAGTTAACTCTCAAGAAGGACAATGATATTTTTCACATATACAAATGATTTGTTTTTAAAATTTAATATTCCGCTTTAAGACATAATTCATGTCCAAAGGCCTAATCATTATATGTTGATATGCACATAATTCAGTCCTGACTTTTGACTGTTGACACATGTTTCATCTGTATAATTGATATATATATATCTTGACCTAACTCAACTATGGTTCTGAAGTATGTAGTGCTCTCGGTCATACTCACAACTAATTAAATTAACATTAAGCAGTTAAGACAGCACAATTTGATTCATTATTGATTCATTGGTGGCATGGGACATATGGTACACTTGGTGATATCCATAAAATTTGGCTGGCCACCTGCAAAACAGATAATCATTTAATTAAAATTAAAAAAGGTTAGGTTATACTGAGAAAGATATATATTCTATTTAAATAATATTTCAAGATAGAGATCTGACTCGAGTCCTGCTTTGCATTTGGTGTGATTACTGGATGCCGATCTGAATCTGGTTGTCAGCTCTGGTCTGCTGCGCTGCGCTTACCGTGCATGTGGTTCAGATGCCTACTGCCCGTGCTCGGGGCGTGATGGCTATTATATACATTGACCATCGGGGGCACATTGTACGGCGGTGGGGGTGGTGGCGGCATCGCCAGAGACTGTTGCTGCTGCTGCTGTTGCTGGCTGCGCATGTGCAAGTATGCTGCTGCCGTCGGCGGTGCAGAAAGCTGAATGGTTGCTGGCTGTGGGGTCAGTGGTGGTGTAGGTGTGCTGGGTGGTGTGTTGTTTGTGCTCTGGCAGGGAGTATTGTTCAGGTTGCGGGTCACAGCATTATTCGATATCTGCTGCAGCAGCCGGCAATCGGCGGCCGTATATACTGGCGGCAATGGCTCGTGTTGCATGTTGCTCTGTTGCTGGTACTGTATGGTACTGTGCTGCTGTTGTTGCTGGTGGTGCTGTTGCTGCTGCTGATGCACATAGCCGCTATCACACGACGATATGGAACCTGTTGGGTGTGTGAAAGTAGCGTAAAGAAG